CTATATAAAATGCACATAGGCATGCAGTTCTATGTATTCTATATGTAAAGTTTTTAACAAGTATTATATATTTATATAGACATTACTATTTATATAAAATATGATTTTTAGGATAAAATTTATTTGCATTCATATAAGTAACATTCAAGAAAAATAGGTTTTGCTATTATATGAATAAATTCAACCTACATGAAATTTATGCATAAATAAATTAAGGCAAAAATACCATTGCAACTTAATTTTTATCATAAACATCAAAGAGAAATATGGGTATGCGGTATATGCAAACAAATATTAAAGACGTGGTTGACAAACTTGTAAATATCTAGCAATCTAATACAAATAATAAGGATAAAACCCTAATAAAGAAGGGTATGTTTTATCACTTACAACAACAACAACAACATCAAGCCTTTGTCCCACTACGTGGGGTCGGCTACATGAATCCTTTTTCGCCATTGTGTTCGGTTAAAAGTCAAATTCTCATCTTAAATCTAATAAAGAAAAATCATTTCTAATATTTTCTAACCAAGTCTTTTTTAGGTATACCCCTACCTTTCTAACATAAGCAAATCTAATACCTCAACTTTCCTAACCGGGTCATCGGAAGGCCTTCTGTTTAATGTGACCAAACATCTAAGGGCGACTCTCTTCTATCTTATCTTCCACTGGAGCTACTCCAACCTTTTCACGTATATTGCTCATTTCGTATCCTATCTCTAAGGGTCAAGCCACTCATCCACCTAAGCATCTCTCATCTATGCAACATTTAACTTTAGTATTTATGCTTCTCTTTTAATGGCCAACATTCGGCCACCATAAAGCATTGCAGGTCTCACCACCATCTTATAGAATTTTTACCTTAAGTTTGAGGGGTACTTTTCTATCGCACATAAGCCCGATGCATTCCCCACTTCAACATCCCAACTTGAATTCTGCTGATAATTATCTCCATCAATTTCACCATCACTCTGAACAATAGATCCAATATATATCTAAAATGTATACTCTTATTAATGGTTTGATCGCCAAAGTCACAATCCCCTCACTAGTCTATTTCCACTAAAATTACACTCCTATATTCAGTTTTAGATCTACTCAAGTGAAAATCTTTAGACTCTAAAGTTGACCTTCATAATTCAAGTTTAACCTTCAATCCTTCTCTAGTCTTATCAACAAAAAGAATATCATCAGCAAAAGCATGCACCAGGTACATCTCTTGCAAATGTCTAGTGAGAACATCCATGACTAAGCAAAAAGATATGGACTTAAGTGCTGATCCTAATGTAATCCAACCGAAATAGGAAAATACTTGGTCAAACCACCTTGTGTTTGGACACAAGTAATAGGTTCCTGTATACATACTTTAATGATTTGAATATAAGCATTATTAAACTCCTTTCTTTTCAAGAACTCTCCCATAGCACTTCTCTTGGACACAAGTAATAGCTCCTGTTATACATAATCTTTAATGATTTGAATATAAGCATATTAACTCCTTTCTTTTCAGAACTCTCCATAGCACTTCTCTTGGAACTTATCATATTGCTTTCTCTAAATCAATAAATATCATATGTAGATCCTCCTTAATTCTCTCTATATTTCTCCATCAAACCTCTAATAAATGTATGGCTTCATAGCAGAACCTACCGGCATGAATCCAAATTTAATTTTGAGAAACATTAGTATCACGCCTCAACCTATGCTCCATAACTCGCTCCCATAGTTTTTAAAGTATGACACATTAACTTAATTCCTCTATAAATTTGCACACTCCTGTGCATCACCTTTATTCTTAAAAATAGGAATTAACACACTCATTCTCCACTGATCTGACATCTTTTTAGTCTCAAAATAGTATTAAAAAGTTTAAGTAAGCCAAGAAATTCCTTCATCTCCTAAGCATTTCCACATCTTTATTGGAATATCTCAGGTCCAATAGCTTTTCCACACTTCATTTTCTTTAAAGCCTATAACTTCGATTTTACTTATACGCCGATAAAAACAAAATCTTTATTTTCATTTAGGGTGATAAAGTCACTAAAGTCAATCATATTTTTACATTTTTTATTAAAAAGTTTAGCAAAAATACCTCAATCCACCTTTGTTGAATATCAACTTCTAAGAAAAGTATTTTTTGATCTTCATCTTGATACACTTCACTTGAACTAAATCTTTACTACTCTTATCTCTTTGTTTGGTAACTTATACATAAATCTTTCTCCTCCCTTAGTATCTAATCTATTTATATAAATCATTAAAAGTTAAACTCTTTGGCATCGCAAATAACTTTCTAGATTCCTTACAAGCCTCTTATATCTTCCCAATATCAGAATTTTACATCTAAACAAATTTATATAACAATCTTCTTATTTTTTATCTTTCTTGCACATTGATTCCACCACCACTTTTTCCCACATAATATTGGCATCCTCATGCGCAGACAAAATCTTAAGATCTAAAATCTTATCTTCAAAAATACTTTTATTAATATTCTTTAAAGGCCCCCATCTAATTCTAGAAAATCGTTTACTTTATTTTATTTTTTGCTCTTTATTCTTAAAGTCCAAAACTATAATCGATGTTGGTACATAATTTCACTCAGAATAATGTTAGACTAGTCCACTGGACCGGTCCAGCCGTCAGGCGGACCGCGTTCACGGGCCAGAATCGCGAAAACATGGCGGAGAAAAGCCTTCCGCCTAGGCGGAAGCCGCGCGTGACGCATGCTTTTGCGGACGGTTTTTGGAAGGTTTTTTGAATGATTTTAGGAGGGAAATTGATTGTAGGGATGTTTTTAGAAATTCCTTTTGAATTGTATTCATTAAATAGTAGATTTCCTAGTTTTGAGCATCTTGAATTTGGCTGAAATTTGAGATCTCGAGTAGAACTAGGATTTCTTTGGGCTCTAGCGGCGTCTAGAGATTTGGGAGAGATCGATCTCCTCTCGAATGAGGATGATCAATTGTATCTTTGCAACTACTATTAAAATACAAGTCTTTTCTCGATTTTACTCGCAGTTTTTCCTGCTTTCCTACTGTTTTTGGCTGTTTTTCTGCTGTGGACAGCAATTTTACATTGGATCACTTGGTTTTGGTAGAGAAACACTTGGAAATCCAGTGTTTCCTATCAATTGTATCAGAGCATCGATTTTTGGACCATCGGCGGCTGAAAACCTGAAATTTCAGCGGGTTTTTGGCATTCAGAGGAAGATTTCTTTTGTTCGTAAGAAAGAAAAATGGTCTGGAAAGAAGATCGAAAGTCCTAGAAGGCGAATTTGGCCAATTAAAAGCAGATTTTGAGGAAAATTCCTTGAAATCACCGCCAATAATGAAAGGTTGGCAAGGGAGGTTCGCGGCGATGGAGAGATGATGAAGAAATTACTTGAGATGAAGACGAATCACGACGCGTCGGAAGCAAGAGAGCTGTCGCGACCAGGGCGTAGGAGGAATCCAAACCGCTTCGGGGGAGGAGGAATCTGGCAGTAGAGAATCCTTGAGGGAGAGGACGACATGCACCTCTAGAGCCACTTTCTAGAGAGGAGATAGAGCATGGGAAATGATCGTCGAAGGTGCTGATTTTCAAGCGTCGAGGTGCTGATTTCAGCGTCAAGGTGCTGATTTTGAAGCAGGAGGGGAATATGAGGGAAGTGCAGATTTGGCGAAAGAAAGAGAAGAATATCAGCGTCAGTGCTGATTTTGAAAGGGGAAGAGGGAGAATATGATGACAGATTCAGATACCAACGTCGAGGGGGACCGGGACACTTGGGAGCACCTCATCTTCGAGGTAATGGGAGGTTATGGAGAGTTACCGGGGTAAGGAAGGATCCGAAGGTGAGGAAGTTGAAGATGCCCATCTTTGAGGGGGAGATGGCCATGGCTGGATATACAAGGTGGAGCGTTACTTTGCTGTCAACGGGTTGACAGACGATGAGAAGCTGACGGCGGCAGGATTGTGTCTGGAAGGAAAGGCTTTGGCATGGTATCAATGGCGTGACAGGAGGGAGCCTATCAGGAACTGGAGGGAATTCAAAAACTGCATAATAGAACATTCCAAACCGACCGGGAGGAGATTTCTATGAGCAGTTCTTTGCTCTGGTGCAGGAGGATCAGTAGAAGACTACCGTGATCGGTTCGAGCACCTGGCTAGTTAGGGTGGAGCGATTATCAGATAGCGTATTGGAGGGGAACTTCATGAAGGGTTGAAGAGAGATTTTGAGCGGCATTTAAAGTTCTGATGCTAGTGACTTGGAGGAGGCAATGAAGTTGGCACAGTTGTAGAAATTAGAATAATCTGGAGAATGGAGCTAGGAGCAGCAGCTTAGGAGGATCTTACAAGACTACGACCACTCTTTTAGCACAAAAGGGCCTGCATCAGTCAACAATAATGAGATCACCAGGGAGAAGCCAATAGGAGGATGGAGTGGGGATAACTTCAAGAAGCTCACTGAGACAGAATTACAGGAGAAGAGGCAAAAGGGCTTTGTTTCAGATGTGACGAGAGGTATACGCCGGGGCACAGGTGTAAAGACCGAACTCTTCAAGTTCTTACTGTTTGTGATGAAGAAGGAATGGAGGGTGTCGTCTTTCCACCTTGTGACAAGTGGATCTTTGGGAGGGGAGTATTGTTAGACCGGTCCACTGGACCGGTCCAGCCGGTCCAGGCGGGACCGGTTCACGGGCCAGAATCGCGAAAACAGGCGGAGAAAGCTTCCGCCTGGGCGGAAGCCGCGCGTGACGCATGCTTTGCGGGACGGTTTTTGGAAGGTTTTTGAATGGATTTTTTAGGAGGGAAATTGATTGTAGGGATTGTTTAGGAAATTCCTTTTGAATTGTATGCATTAAATAGTAGATTTTCCTAGGTTTGAGCATCTTGAATTTGGCTGAAATTTGAGATCTCGTAGAACTAGGATTTCTTTGGCTCTAGCGGCGTCTAGAGATTGGGAGAGATCGATCCTCCTCTCGAATTGGAGATCAATTGTATCTTTGCTATTTCTTTGCAAACTACTAGTAAAATACAAGTCTTTTCTCGGATTTTTCTGCAGTTTTTCCTGTCTTCCTACTTGTTTTGGCTTTTTTCTGCTGTGGACAGGCAATTTTACATTGGATCTACTTGGTTTTGGTGAGAAACACTTGGAAATCCAAGTGTTTCCTATCAAATAACTTTACAATCTTTGCAATCTTAAACGATCTAATTTTCTTATAAGAAATAATCAATTTGCGTTTTACTATATCATTTTATAAGTGATAAGATGCTTATCTCTTTTCTTAATAAGGTATTAGCTATTAAGAAATTATAGCTAAAGAAAAATCTAATTATAATCTTACCATCTTCATTTATCGTTTCAAACCCATAGCTACCCCACCATGGATGCTTTTAAAATCATCTACCTCTCTACCAACATGTCCATTTAAATCTCCTCCAATAAAAACTTTTTCTTCAAGAGGTATATTTTATATTAATTCTTCTAAGTCATTCCAAAATTTTAATTTTGAACTCATATCCAAATCTACTTGAGGAGTATAAGCACTTATAATATTAACAATCTTAGCATCAACAACAATCTTTAAAGTTATAATTATATCTTCGATTCTGTTAATTTTTATAACATTATCCTTCAAACTCTTATCTATAATCACACCTACACTATTTCTATTACGACTCCTACCCGAATACCATAATTTATATCCAAAGCTATTAATCTCCTTAGCTTTTTCTCCAACCCATTTAGTTTCCTAAATGCATAGAATATTTATCTTCCTATGAATCATAATATCTATTAATTTCATTAATTTTTCTGTAAGGGAGCATATATTTCAAGTTCCTATCCTAATTTTAGTTTCATGGACTAGCTTCTTTGCCCACATTCATCCTTGATGTGGGAACCCTTGCCTATTTAATACTACACCCGAGCGCAGGTGCAGCGGCCCTTCCACACTTGTCACTGTATTCAGGCCATATAGCGCGTCGCTTCCACGGGACACCCTAGCATTAACACAATTTTTTAAAGGATTCATGTCATGATTATTCGACAAGTTTTACGCTGGCTGTCGAGTGTCGACCACCTAATGCAACCCTCCACTTTTCTCATCTAGGACTTGGGATCTGGCAACGACATGTTTATCACTTAATAGATATTAATTATTTACTTGAATTGTAAAGCTTATATAATCCTCCTTCAAAATCACATCTTAATAGCACTGGAGGATACTAAGAAAACTTAAAACAAATATAAGCTTTCATATAAAACATAAAAGCATATATTCATCTCATTAAGGGCTCCCGAGAAGTGTGTGAGTGCATTCGTTCTGATCGAGTGTTTCATGCATCTCTCGCTATACTATACATCTTGTAGGTTTGCATCCCTGCACGTTCTTTTATCCTCTAGACACAATTTGTGGTAGTGCCTTTTGTTGGGAAAACAATACAGGATCGTATGCGGTCGGGCTGGCGAGCAGGAAAACGAAAACGTGGGCAGGAAAACATATCATAACTCTGGGGAGAAATCAAGCGGCTCGACGAGCTTGTTTTAGTGTCGTGAGTCGAGCTCGACTCAAGTTCGAGCTCAAGTTTTAGCTTGGTATTCGACTTACGAGTCGAGCTCGAACACCCCTGACTCAAGATCGACTCAACTCGTTTATACTACTAAGACCTGCATGCTAGGGAAACTTTTAAGTGAACAACCCTAAATCGAAACAATCAGGCAACTTGTAAATAGAGCTATAAGACATGCCTTAAATTGAAATCCCGGGCCACTTTCAATGAAAACAGTAAGACCCAACCTGTTAAACCAACTGGCTGCTTTCAATGAAAGCATTAAGAACATTTCTCAAACCTACGGGCTACTTTCAATGGAAGCACCTAACTTCTTAAACACATGCTATTTTTAAGGAAAGCCGTAAGACCTGTTGTATGGGCAACTCCCAAGCAAAGCAGTAAGCCCCAACCCAGACCATACCATCATAAGAATAAAACATACATCTATCCACTTTAGTTTACTTGGGATCCTTGAGATGAGGTAATTCATGTATGGTAATCAGATTTCTTGGACGCTACAATCAACGATCGCTAGTATTGATAAATTGAAACCTGCGGTATACCTGGGATGACAGATTCATGAGATCTTGATTGGGTTTACCTCTTTTTTCCCCTCAAATTAGACTAAAGCACCTAAAACTAATCATCCTTAATCGAGAGCTCTCTTACATAGTAAGAGGGATAATTAACTATGAGGGCTTGCCCTCATAGGAAGTAAGGACCCAGATCTAACTAAACGCTCATATTACCTTCAAGGGGAATCTTGTTAATCACAATTTGCCTTAAGGAGAAGAAATCCTATGGCTGCAAGGTGGGATTCATGCCTACGTGCCGTTTTTCTTGAGCGAAACAATATTAGAGAGATTTACCTTAGATGATTTGGTCATCTAAGATAACCATGTTAGGAGAGTAGATGTATTACATCCGGCCTATGTTAAAAAAGGTTAGAGACAAACCTAAAAAACTTGTTTAGAAAGTATTAAAATTGACTTTTTTTACTAGATTTAAATGAGAATTTGACTCTTAATTGGACACAATGGGGAACGAGAATTCATGTAGCTGATGCCACGAAGTGGGATGAAGGCTTATTGTTGTTGTTGCCTTTATTTTTTGTATGATCTACATAATTGCATTATCTTAGTTGAAGTAGAAACCTTTAACCATAAGATGCCTTGCATCCTTGCATCACGGAATAGGTGAATTTTTTTTTGTTCAGTGGGAATTCTAGAACATGCAATAAAGGCTAGACTTTCTGAGATGACATTTGCAAAGGGTCCTTAAAAAAATTATGGTAGACTGAAATGTTTATTTTAAGATTATAATAATACATATTATATCAAATTGATAGTATTATTCAACCATTCTCACTTGTTCAGATTAAATTAACTTTAGAATGGTTATTTTGTTTCCTTAGGTTGCAGCCCGAGCAAAGTATAGCATTGAATATGGTGCGACATATCCAAACATTTTTTTGCCATGTGAGATGATCAGATCACTTACAGTTGATGGTGATTCCTGCCTTAATGGTACATCTAGCAAGTCTTCTTTTTTCCATCATCAAAGGGAGTGGAAGTTGTACTTGCAAAAAGCTTATCATCCTTTATTACTCAAGCAGTATCGCGAGAACTTAGAGAATGCGAGGAAGGCTCTCGCTAATGCTGCTTCTGTGAGTGTATAGCTGGAATTCGGTGCTTTGATTTGCATTGATTTCTAAATTTAAGTTGCTTTGCATAACTTTTCCAATGCGGAAAGCCCATCAGTTGCACTTCAATGCAAAAACTTCTTTGTTTGCTGCTCTGGATCTCATTTATTTCAACCAATTTAACTTTTAGGATCTTCGGAGGAAAAAAATGCAAGGAAAAAGCATGGCAACAGATGATAGTGATTCTCATTTTGACTCCATGAAACTAAGTGTATTGACTAAACTTTGGCAATAAATTTCTTTTATCTCTGAAGAAAGATAATTCCCTTATTTATTTTGGTTTTTCTAATTATATGGAAGGTTTTTTTTTTCCCAGATTTTGCAAATGGAAAGACGTCCTCCCATTCCTGTGGATTTTTCTATTTCTGCAAAAGCTACTGTTCTAGTTATAACAGGACCAAATACTGGAGGGAAAACTGTTAGCTTAAAGACCGTTGGTCTAGCTTCCTTGATGTCAAAGGCTGGTTAGTTCTTGGAGCACTCTGGATCTCTTTCTTCTGCAAAACAATTTCCAATACACTTCAATGGTTCGTACTGACTTGCGCAGTTGCTCAAAGTTAAACCTAGATGCCAGCAACTATTTCGTTGAGTGATATTTCCTTCAGTCTCTACAATAGAGGTCTAAGGTTCGAACCATTGAAATAAATTAATTAATTAAAACAAAAAAACAACCTAGATCCATGGAGATTTTGGTAAAATTGACATCGTTCCCTTGAATTAAGATGTCATAAGAATTTCTTTGCTTATTCATGGATTCTTAAACAATTATCATTCATATCAACACCCCCCCATCCCGTCATCATCCTGGGTCATTCTAAAATATTATGCATAGTTTGTATATTTGCTTACCTGCAGGCTGCAGTCAAGTAAAAGCTACATTTGGTATTTTTACTAGTTCTAAGATCCAAATATCTATTGCTGATCTTCTAGATTCTAGATCTCTCCTATAACTGCACTGCATCAGTGACTTTTTACATGCCACATGCTTGAGGAAACTGTTCTATTCATCAAGGAAGAAGGTTGATTTTCATAACTTCTCACCTTTCGCCTGCTAAAACCTGAAAGAAGTCCTACTTGAAGAAGGCGAAATTGTTAATTTGGAATCACATAAGATATGATAAAGTAATATGCCATAGCGTATATTAAAATCTTGATAGAAATGCTGCACAATCTCTTGTTAAAGAAAAAACTAGGGTGTACTGTGTTGACCACCACACTAGTGTTTCACAAGTCGATTTGATCAGATGTAACTGTAATGCCAAAAGACGGACATTGTTTCACAAAGAATTGACTCAAAACATCCTATTTACGTGAAAAGAGTGCTCATCAGTCAACGTTATTGTCAATATGATTATCCTTATGAGATTGAAACTTCTAAATGGTTTGAAAAGAACCCCTTATCATTTGAATTGTAACATAGAGGGTGAAAATTCACATGTGAGAGATAAGAAAATTCATCACTCATCTATTTTTTAAAAGAGAAAAAATAATTAAAATGATCCCAACTATTTATGGCGGTTATTTTAGTCTCAAACTATCTAAAATATCTGATTTAGTCCCTTAACTCTTAAAATAAGAGCTAAAATGGTCCCCCCGTCTAAAGTAACAGAAATTGAAGTTAAAGTTAAAAGATGATGTTAAAAATTAGGATATTTCTGGAATCATCATTGCAACTTTTTTTTGTATTAGCTGGACAATTTGAGAAGAGAAGAATCAACAACAATAACATTAAGCCTTTATCCCGCTACGTGCGGTCGATTACATGAATCATTATTCTCCATTGTGTCTTGTTAAGAGTTAAATTCTCATTTAAATCTAAAAAAAATTATTTCTAATATTTTCTAACCAATTCTTTTTAGCTTCATATTTCTGATCTTGGCCAAAGGCTGCTCTTTGGTAACAGAGGAAGTGGAGTGTGTCTTTAGTGTAATGCAAGAAAAAATATGGAGATCTAAACCAAGAGTTGTTTACGAACTTTTTGAAATTGTTGATTTGAGCTAATTTATACTAGAATGATACCGTTTTGAGGGAAAATTGAGAATTGTTCGGGTAGTTGGCGGGATTTGTAGATCAGTGACATCAGTGAGTCTAGAGTGTTGCGAAGAGGGAGCATTCAAGTGCAAGCAACAGGGCTAATAGGCAAGCGGGAACACATGAGAGCATGAAGCATGAGTGGCAACACAAGAAGGTTAGGGGCTCTATCTGATCACATGAGCATGTAGGTGAAGCGTGCGATCATACAAGTGAAGAAAGCGGGTGAGCTATAATACTAGCGAAGACTTTGACTCTTAAGTGGGAACTTAATAGGATCTTCACAGGATCCAAGTGGGATCTTTGCATGATCCACACGGAACTTTCACAGGATCCACACGTGATCTTATTCTATGAATTCTTAGTAGATTTTCACGGATACTCACAAGATCTTTGAAGCACATAGAATAGGATAAATGCTTGTTTGTCGATCGAGAGCAAGCGAGGCTTGCAGGATCCTCAGGGGATCTTCAGAAGATCCTCGTGGACCTTCGAGACACGAGAAAGAAGAATATTTAGAGCAGACTTTGATATCATGATAGAAAATAATAAAAGACTACATGTGATGAGGACATACGACCATGGAGAGTTTACCAGAGAGACTGAGCCGACGATTTATGGCCACGATTGCACCGCTTTACCTTTGAGTTATTATTTGTATTAGATTTATTATTATGTTTGTATTGAGTTTATTATTACATATTTTCCATTTGTACCCTCACTTGAGGAAGCAGTTCTATGTAAGCCCTAGGGGCATGTGTCTTTATTTTCTTTCATTGTATGTTGGCTATTTAAAGCCTCATCCTCATCTTTTGAGGGTAATGAATAATAGTATGAAAATTTTCCTACATTGTGTCTTGGAGAGTTGAGAGCGTTTGAGAGTTTTTGAAGTCTCTAGGTGAGGGCAACTTAATACTCACCAACTGCATGAAGTGTCCGGATTTGTGGTCCATCTTCTCCACCAATTTCCTTTCCTCTCTTCTCCACAAGTCGATGGCCACCATCTCCTTTCCCCCCTCAAACCGTTGCCCTCCACCCTCCACCTCTCCTTGCCGCCGACCCAAGAAGCCCCATCCCTCCTTCTAGCCGCCGGCCCCCTAGACCACCCTCCTCCCAAAATCGCCGGCCTAACTCCTTCCAAGTCCCCTCCTAGCCGTTGGCCACACTTCACTTGCCTATTGGATTCAAATTTTCAAAAATCTTGACTTTAAGTACTTTCCTAATTTACCTCTTTTAAGTTTGGAAAGCATTTAAATTCATATTTAAATAAATTTGAATTGGAGATCTATTTCCAAAATCAGAAATGTTAATTTAGGAAAGTCCACCAATCATGTATTATTTGAATTTTAAATAGGAGTTGATTTAATTCTACTTTCTTATTTTAAGATTCTAAATATAGCAAACATTAATTGCACAAATTCAATCCCCTATCCATGCTAGCCGCCGGCCCCTACCCTCTCTCTCCAAATTATTTCCTTCCCATTAAAGCTCCCTAAACCCTCCCCTCCTTCCAAAGCCGCCGGCCCCTCCCTCCTTTCCCTTTTGTGTGGGAATTTGAATTTCAAATCTTACCACTTACCTCTACCATTAAATCTGCAATTCAAATACAGATTGGTACTACTTCTTTTCCTCTCTCCACCTCAATTACTCTTCCAAATCTCCTTCTATTTTCTTCTCTTACCATCTCTCCTAGGTTTCCCATGGTTTTCCAGAAATTTCAGCAAAGATCTTTGCTGTCCAGCCACCAAAAAGGCTCCATTTGCTGTCCAGAAGTTTCCCCAACTCCTAGTCCGCTGTCCCCTCATGTATGGCTGATCCAGAACTTGATCACGATTTTATTTACAACGATCAATGGCAAGTTGACATCCTCAAGTCTCCATTCTTCGACATCAACTTGGAGGTCGACCGAACCATCGAAGATACGTCGAAAGGATTATCTTCTCCCTCGCCGCCGGTATCGATGAACAACTCTCTCCCACTCAGTGGCGAATCGTTTCTGAAGCTTGATAAAGGTGAGCTTATCCCCAAAGTCTTTGCTTTTCTAAGTTTTCCCTTTAATTGTGGCATCATAAAGGTTGTGCAATCTATCTCCGCTTAACTAAATCTCAAAAGTATGAGTGAGTGGATCCAATTAGTGTCTAATCTAAATGTTAATTTAGGGATTTCCTTTGAACTCTCCCATGCTATGCTAATCTTGATCGGAACTGATTATTCATGATTCTAACTCTTATTGTGTAATTTGGCCTAAGCTTAAATAACATCTCTCTTGTTTTTAAGATTTGTTTAAATTGCTTAAAGTAAACTTAATTATTGTTGCTCTACTTTAAAAAGGAACTTAATTTCAACGTTGCATAATTATGCATGCAGTTGGTTCTACATCAACATGTTGTTTGAATAATTATATTTAAACTACTTGTGGGTTAAATAGCTTGAATGCTGAAGGTTGTAAAAGATTTTAATGTTTTATCCAAGTCAGATGTAAATGAAATTTAAATTGATTTATTGATTTGTGATTGGAACTTGCAAACTATTTCAAAGGTTGGCAATAACTTGAATGATTATGTAAAAAATCCAATTCTTCTTAATGTGCATTATACATGATATTTAGAAGCTAAGTGCTACATTTAAAAATAAGTTATTGATAATCATTGGTATGAAGAGCTGCGTTCTTGGTAGAAAGGGAAGATGAAGACATCATAAACTCCTTTGTATTTGTTTCTTTCTATAGTTGGCAAACATAGCTTCATTAGTTTTATATTATGTTAGAATATTTATAGCTTACTTTCAATTATATATATATATATATATATATATATTATGTCCAAGAACATTTGCAGTGGTAGAGAGGAAGAGTTTATAGCCTTAACTTTGTATAAAGATTCAACACGCACATAAATTAAAGTGGATTGCAAGGTGCAACACACTCGAAAAAGGGAAAAAACATGGGGGACTGACCCAATTGAAACGATTTCACTAGTGTTTGCCATTGGTTACAAATTATTCCCTTTTCCTTGATTGAGGGTGATGTTAGTATAATATAGTACACATGGACTATAAAATGGATTATGCGGTTAATGTTACAAGGCTCTTGTGACATGAGAGCTATCTTCAAGATATCGTTTGTTTGTGTTTGATTTCTCTCCTTTGATGATAGAAGACTATAAACCAAGAAGTCCAACATAAATCTTACAGATGTTTGGAGTTAGAGTTGGTGTCGATAGGGTGCATTGAACCTTATAGGCGATGACAAGTGACAATTTTATCTGGTGTCAATCTAGTTGGGCGAAGTGGTCAAAAGACTATAGTTGGCTGACAGTGGTCTGGAGATTATCCGATTGGTAGGAGACTGTAGTGGGTGACGATGGTTCGATAACAATGGTTGAAGGATAGTGTACCAATGACAGTGGTCCATTGATGGAGCTTGTTGACAGTAATCGGGCGATGATAGTCCGGCGAAGCTTCGCGATTCTTCAAGTCTCTGAACTCTCTTGAATCTCAAGCCAAGGGCCCAAACTCTCCTCTTGATCCCTTAATGTAGAGAGTGAGGATATATTAATTGTTTGTGAGAATGACACACTCTGTAAATATAGCTAAAATCTGTAACACTTCATCGAAATGTGTTTATTCTCTTTATTGTATATTGTTCATTTAGCATTTGATAATGCCAGAGTTTGGATGGTCTTGCGTTCTATATATATATATATAAAAGCTAATACACTATCAAAACTAGATTATTGATTTTTGCACAAGTTACAAATTTAGTTCCTGCTTCTTAATATTGTAAGTTTTGAAGGTATGGTTACTTCTGGAATTACTGATATCTTTGTCCAACTGCTTGGACACATGGTCATTTTTGTAACGTTTGCTATTATCTTTGTCTTTATCCATGATATTTATCTTCTGTGCTAATTGAATTACTCTTTGCTGAATCAGATGATCTGTATCTGCTGAGTTGTTTTCATTTCTTTTCTTTAAATGTGGGGACTACATTGAATTTATTTGTAAATCTGTAGGTCTCTATGTTCTTGCATCAGAGCCAGTAAAATTACCCTGGTTTGATGCAGTTTATGCTGATATTGGGGACGAGCAGTCTTTGACCCAGTCTTTGTCTACATTTTCTGGTCACTTGAAACAGATCAGTGTAGGTGTTCTATCAATTATGTATGTTTTTCTTTAGGTTTATTGCATCTTTTTGTCATTTAAACTTCATTTTGCTATGCATGTTAGTAAAAAAGAAAAATAATTTGGGATTACTCTTTATTTTACTCCTTGTTTAAAAGGCGATTGAGGCGACTATCTTAAGGCTTGCCTCATCATGGGGCATCCGATAAATACCTTTAGACTTAAAATTTTTAGCCTTAGCGAGGCTTCCATCTTTTTCATTCGCGGCGTATATTTTGAGGCTATAATGCCTTGAGGCGCATGAGGCAACCATCTCATATTAATGTTTACATAAAAAACAAAATACACTTTTAATTTATTATAAGAGTGCTTAAGTTCCTATCTTTTATTTTATTTTATTTTTTTAATTTTTAACCTTTTTTTTAATTTTAAACTAAAATTTCTTTTAATAAGTTCATTTTATTTTTCTTTTTAAAAGATTTTATTCTCATTTTTACTAATTTGATTTTTTTAGTTCTATTTCTAATGTTGCTTTATTTTCTTTTTTAACCATTTTTAATGATTTTTTAACTGATTTTATTTTTCTTTTATTTTAATTGGTTTGTTTTAATTTTTTAAGAGTCTAGGTTTTTTATTTTTTTAAACTGTTTGTTGATGGTTGATGACTTAATTATGAATTCTCGATTTTATGAGTTTATTTTATTTTGTTATTTGTTCGAGCCATTACGCTTTAATTTACTTTTAGGTTTACGCATTGCCTCGATAAGACAAAACATTTTAGTTCAAGATTTTACCTTTTTTTTAAGTCTTGCTTTTACTATCTAAAATGATTTACCTTGCTTAAAATGTCAACATTTGTTTGTAGTTCACATTTATGTACAACTTTTTATTGGATGTATGATGGTTACTCATAAATATTTGGGCTCATTGCCTTCAAATAATACAAGTGAGAGGTAAAGAGAGTTGGAAGGAATTAGATAAAGCCACCCATCATTCAGAGTAATTATGAAAGGTCACTAAACTAAAGAAACTCGTATTTATTATGAGAAATATCCCAAAATAGTCTACTGACTATTAGTAAGTGCCCAATTTAGTCATAGAATTTTTGTAATACCTTGATTTAGTCCCTAGACTATTGCAAAATTGATCCAATTTTGTCTTTCCATTATGTAACCTATCAAGTTTAATGGAAAATGATGCATCTCTAATGCTACTCATAATTTGAGGGGAACATTTTAGTAAAAAATATGTTAATTTCATATATATTTTTTAATGCTATGTATTGTTCCCGTTCTCATGCAATTGCAAGATTTACGCTAAGAAGTAGCAAGCAATGGAGTTGGAACTACGAGAAGCAAAACATTGAACCAGCGTGCAAGCAGTGAAGCAAGTATAATGCATGTTAGATGTTTTATATTTTTTCCAAAATTCAAGTGGCTATATTAACTTAATTAAATCTCCTAGAACATAAATAATGATTACCGATATAATTTGTGTTCTAATAACCTATTAGCTTGATACTCATTATAAATATTTCTTTTATTAATTATTCACTCTTATTATGTAGTAGTTTAATTTTTATTCAATTTTTAATATTTATTATAATTTATTAAATGATAAAATAGAGTAGCACAAGAAATATAATCTCACCTATATTTGCACCACCTAAAATACCCTCACATTTAACTTTGGTGTTAACTTTAACTATTATTTTTAGCTTTGGCATCAAATTGGATTTAATAGTTGAGGGATTAAATTGAGGCATTGCAAAAATTAAATCGGTCGCTTACTCGTAGTGAAGGAACTATTTTGAACTTTTTCATATTTTATTATATAGTGTAACAACAAATGACTATGATTCTGATGCGTCATGGAAGCAAAAATAACAAACTAGAGAAGAAGAAAATGCAGGAATACAAATATTTTGATTGTTTTTGGGGTTCTCTCTTTAATAATAAATAAAGATACAAGTGATCTACTAATCGAGAGATAGATCAGCTCTCCCACAAACCCTTAATGTTGCTAGGAAACTCACAACAAACCCTAGAATAAACTTTAGTAAAACATAAGATCCAAACCTAGACAAAACTTCCCCTTAAATAGCCCTACCACACCACACATTTAAACTCTTCATAAACAACATAAACACAATTAGGAAACATTTCTAATGACTTCCCCTTGATTAGAAACCTTCCTAAACTGCTCCTTCTTGATTAGGAACCTTCTTAAACAGCTCTTTAATTAGGAACCTTCATAAACAACTCTCTCTTGATTAAGAACATTTCTAAACAACTTCCTTTTGATTAGGAACCATCATAAATAGTTCTTCCTCAATGAGGAACCTTCCTAAATAACTCCCTCTTGATTAGGAACCTTCCTAAACAACTCCCCTTTGATTACTCATTTCATAGTGAATATTAACTCCTTGGGCCCCACAAGGATAGCCAAACCCCCTCCTACTTCCCCTGGTTCCGCTTGACCCCTTGGCTGGTTCGGTATGGATAGGGCTGACCTTGTTGGGCTCTTCTGGGCCTGCCAGTTGTCCTCCCGCCGCGGCGTATCAGATTCCCTTAGGGTCTTTGCAAACTTAAATATTAAGTTTGTTAAATTTATCATCTTCTTAAGATCCTATAGATGGGTTGGTGAAAAAAAAAATGATCAAGTTGGCCTCCTGGTTAGAGGCTTTCTGGATATATTTTCGTTCAAGTATTCTTGAATGATATTTCAAATTATTTTAACAGTGTTTTGTGTGTTCATAATTAGGATTGGAAGCTATGTGTGTAGCTCTTTCACATACAAGATTCATGAGCTTTTAAGCATGACATTACTCAATATCCATTTGAAACACTTAATTTAGAATAAATCAACTTCATACAATTTCTATTAGAGGCTCAATTTTCTTGGTAATTGGAGTTCATGGTGAAGCTTATCCCTTTCTAAGGGTATTCACCAGCTTGCGAAAGTGAACATCTGCATGCTTGCTTGATTGTAGTAATTAATTACTTTGATTAATTGAGGAGAAGCTAATTAACGCTAATCTTTGTGGGATGGGTCACGCTAATGAATGTGGGTGGGTGGACTATGAGCGCTATGCAAGTTCATCAGGTGTGATCACCTGAGAAAACTTTTGCATGCTTTCCTTATAATTTGTGATCTTACTTCTCATAGAAATTGTCTACTTAAATCAGTGCTTTGGCCGCCTTTGTCTTATAGTATTAACATATATGTAGATTTCTAGCTCTTCTAGAGTGATATCTTCTTGCTGAAATGAAGCATTCTTCGGCCTACATGACCTTAAAATTGTGCCATGATAGTGGAGGGAGTTGCTGGGAAGGAGATAATGAAAATACAATTAAAATAAAGCATAATCATGATGATTAATTTTAAGTATAATTGTTAATTTTAATAAATTTTTTCCTAAAAAAAAGTAGGATTAGGATATTAAGTATAAAATTTATTAGCTTTAGTAAAAAAATATATTATAAATATATTTTAACAAATTTCCCTTGGATAATCAGCCAGGTTACTCTAAATGGTATCAAAGTGATGAAATACTGGTAGACATTTGAGGTTTTTTTAATGTATTAACTATTAACTCGGAAGCTTTTGATGGACCGGGTGAATCGGTCCCGCCTGGACCCGTGCGGGTCTATAGGCGGAAGAGAGGGGGGCGGGGGACCGGTTGGACCAAAGGGACCCACCCACTTAAGTGGGGGTAATTTGGGAATGGGAGGAATTTTTGGGGAGGGTATGAAGGGAGCCATTAGGGTTTAGTTCTATCATTATGAAAAGTAAAGTCTCTTTCTAGTTCTTTTTCTTCTAGTCTTCTTCTTGTTCTTTTCTAGAGTTTTCTTTTGGGAGATCTTGTCCTTCTCGAAGTGGACAAACTTATCTTGTTTTCTCTTGGCTTTCTAATGCAAAGGTTCTTGCTTTTCATCTCAACCCTCTTGTGATTGTTTCTCTTTGGTTTTGGTGGAGAAATTCCTCATTTTTGGGGGAAATTAGGGCAAAACTGAAATTGTGGAACCCTAGGGCGTATCAGCTTTCTTTTAGAGAAGCCTCCAAAAGATACCTTGTGTGTTTTTGAGATAGATGAAAAGAGTAAGAGAGAAACTTCTCCTTCTAGCCTCGTATTACGTATTAGGGGTAAGTTATTCATTTCAAAGCTAATGAAAATCTTGGGTTTATCGCTTTATATGGACTGTTCTAGCCTCCTTTCCTTCTCATCTTTTGGGAAAGTGGTAAGGTTTCCTTGTTATGTGGTCATAAAATCCCTGCTGTGTGCAAAGAACCAAGGATCCAATGAGAATTCTGTTGTGTGCTGTATAACCCTATTACACTCTTAAAATGCAAAGAAATTTAATTTCTTTTACATAATTAATAACATGACTTATAAGGATGGACATTTAAAACATAACAGGACAAAACAAACAAGACACTTTTTTAAATAATGACAATATCACATAAGATAACACATAATGAAGCTTGTATCTTCAATTTCGGACCTCTTGTTCTGCTTTATACGCCCATCCTGTTTTGGTTGATCTTTTCTAGCTTATTAAATTTCTTCTAGAGTGTTAACCTCTTGTTAGGGCCGTTGTCCCGTAAATTGTTTTTTCCTTCTCCTGCTTCCGACTTCCCGGAACAAATTGTTCCTTCTGCTTCCAACATAAATCTTTAGCACAGAATCTAGTGGAAAATCCATTGTCAGCAAAAAGTGTTATTTTTTACATTGCACTGTTTAAGAACTTTTTGTTGACACCCCTGCGTCGATTTTGTCAAATCTGTCTTCATGAAGGTAACGCACTTTCAATTTAGGTATTGCGTTGCTTGGAATTTTACATCATTACCTTCTGCTTCAAATCCAAATATAATGGTAACGTTAAACTGCAAATAATGTCGTAGTATTCACTTTCAGAACATTGCATTTTCTTAGAATGTATTATCTTGTATTTTTTTAAAATGAGAAATTAACTTTTGTGTCTTTTTACCAGGCTATTCGTTCAAATTCAACAAGTAATTCCTTAGTACTGTTAGATGAAGTAAGTTCTTTTAATAACACTCTTTTGTCAAATTCTGTTATGCGGATCTTCTTTCTTTTAGATTCCTTGATCCTTTGTTGCTTCCATTATTTTTTTTTCTTTACAAACTTATTTTATTAGATTCCTTGGACAGTCATTTAATTGACACATGTTGGAGTTAATTGAAGATTTTGACGTCTAGGAAAACAAAGTGCGTGGACTTAAGTGAGTTAAATTTCTACATTTGAAGCCACATAGTTCAGCTGTTAGGTTCAATAACTATCTCATAATTTTGTAAATCCTTTGCTGTAGAATATTGCTATAAATAACATGTATGTGTGTGTGAGAGGGAAAATTATTAGGTCCGGACACCGGACGTAGAGATACGTCCGGGCTCCAATAAAATGTTGACATGTGGAATGTACACATGTCCGCGGAATTTTAAGCCAAGCGCACCAAAAGCGCAGTCAAAGTGCAGCCCACGTGTCAAATTTTAATTGGATATCCGGACCTATATATACGTCCGGTGTCCGGACTTAATAATTTTCCATGAGGGAGAAAGAGAATGACGGAGTATTTTATGCAGAGAAAGAAGTGACACACAAATGTAAATTTTTCTTCAACAAATTTTAAATATTACTAAAATTTCTAGATCTGAAATACTTGTTAGTTTACGTTGCTTTTGATTTAGTGAAGTTGCAACCACCAACAAATCTATAGTGGGGCCCCTCAGGCTGGCCCTTCAATGAAACAACTTATTTTGGAAGCGAGTTATTTTGGAAACTACCTTTTTTTAATTAAAAGGCTAGGGTTAGGGAGGATGTTATGTTATAAATAGGTGGAGAATTAGAGGATTAGGGCATGCAAAATCATTGTGGTTGTTTCTTGTTCTTGATGTTGGTGCCTTGGGCTCTAGCGGCGTCTAGAGATTAAGAGAGAAGGATCCTCCTCTCTAATTGAGGAACAATTGTATATTGCAATTTCTTTTCCGTTGGTTTGATTGCTATAATAAAAAACTATTGTTTTTGCTTGTTTTTCATTGGATTTGTGGAGTTTTTCTACTGGTTTTGTCAATCTTATTAAGGTTTACTTGAGATCTTCAAGTATTTCCTATTAAATTGGTATCATAGCAAATTTTGGCACCGTTTGTTGGCTGTTTTATGAAATTTCAGCAACTGTTTTTAGTCCAGAGGAAGGGTTTCTTGCTGTTTATTGGATCAATATCCAGATTTTTTGAACCTACAAAAATCCGTGTATTGATGGTAGCCAAGAAGGTAGATGCGTTGGAGGAACGCCTTGAAGGATAGATGAGCCAAATGAAATCAATGGTGGAAGATCGAATTTCATCCGTAGAAGACAAGGTTTCATCCGTGAAAGACGAAATTTCTGATCTTCATGCGATGTTGAAGAAGCTATTGGAAAATTAAATTCAAACGGTGCATCAGAGACAAAGGGATCGGTGGGAAGAACTACGAATTTTGAATTTCGTAGGAGGGAAAACGCTGTGGAGATCATGGAGGAGAAAGGGGGAAAGGTATGGAGAGAGGTATGGATGTGGGGGGCATGAACCAAGGGGTGCTGGTTGGGTGAAAAAAGATGGAATTTATGGTAGGAGGGGTGTTGATTTTGGAGAAAGGAGGGAAGAAGGTGAAGAGGGGTTTGAAGATGAGCGTGTAAGGGAAGATCGGGAAACTTGGGGAGAGCAAAGCACTTGTGAAAGGGAAAATTATGGAGGCATATGGGGATACGGGGGAGATCCGAAGGTGAGGAAGCTGAAGATGTCCATCTTTGAAGGGGAGGACGCATACGGGTGGATCTACAAGGTGGAGAGGTATTTCACCATCAATGGGCTGATGGAGGAGGAAAAGTTGACAGCAACAGGGTTATGTTTAGAGGGGAAGGTGTTGTCTTGGTATCAGTGGAGGGATCAAAGGAGACTCATACAGAGTTGGAGGGAATTCAAAGAATTTTCAAACCGACAGGGGAGGGGACTTCTATGAGCAGTTCTTTGCACTAGTATAGAACGGATCAGTGGTAGACTACTGCGAGAGATTTGAGCACTTAGCCAGTCAGGTGGAGCAACTATCAGAGACTGTGTTGCAGGATAATTTCATAAAGGGACTCAAATTCGAGGTCAGAGCTACAGTGAGGGTCATAAAGCCTCGTAACTTGGAAGATGCAGTAGAGTTGGCGCAGTTGGTTGAAGATCAGAAGTACCAAGAGAGGGGAGCCAGGGGCAGCAGTTCAGCTAGCTCTTATAGGATGACTACCACTCTTCTAGCACCCAAGGGTCCGACAGCAGGTAGTCTTCATGAGACTCCTAGGGAGAATCCAGCGGAAGGGGGAAGTGGGGGAAACTTCAAAAGACTGACAAAGAGGGAGATGCAGGAAAAGAGAGCAAAGGGACTCTTCTTCAGGTGTGATGAAAAGTATATGCCATGGCATAGGTGTAGGAACCAAACTCTTTAGGTTCTCACCGTCTATGATGACGAGGAAATTGAGGAGGGAGGTGAGGGTGAGGTAGAGGGAGAGATGGAGGACATGCTGCATTTGGATGTGGCGGAGGTATCCTTGAACTCAGTGGTAGGATTCACGTTGAATCATACCATGAAAGTGAAAGGGGAAATAATATGGAGGTGGTGGTGTTGATTGATTGTGGGGCTACCCACAATTTTATTTCCAATCAGGTTGTGAACCAATTGGAGATGAAATTGGTGAATACATGGTGTGATGGAGTGATGATGGGCACAGGGAAGGTGGAGATGGGTCAGGGAATATGTAGAAGAGTGGTGTTGACCATACAGGGGATACAGGTGAGGGAGGACTTTCTCCCATCGGAGCTAGGGAACATTAATGTCATCCTGGGGATGAAATGATTGCAGACATTGGAGACACCAAGATCAATTGGAAGGCATTAACGATGGAACTGATGGTGAAAGAGAGAAGAGTCGTGATAAGGGGAGATGGGGGGCTCTCTGAAGCTATGGTGTCACTTAAAACCATGTTGAGTATCCAAAAAGTGGGGGAAAGGTACTTGGTGGAGCTGCACATGCTAGAGGGGATCATATTGGATGAAGGATGGGAAGTTGCTCTTTCAGTATGGCCATTGATTCAGCAATTCAGTAAGGTTTTTCATCCACTTCAGGGATTGCCACCACCAAGAGAATAGGAGCATGTTATCACCTTGAAGGAAGGGGTGTCACCCATTAATGTGAAGCCTTATTGCTATCCACAATTTTAAAAGGATGAGATTGAGAAATTGATTAGATAGATACTGGAAGCAGAGATTATCATGCCCAGTATTAGCCCCTTTTCTAGCCCAGTATTGCTGGTTAAAAAGAAAGATATGAGTTAGAGGTTTTGTGTGGACTATAGGGCAGTAAATAATGAAATTGTGCTAAACAAGTTACTCATACCTGCAGTGATCGATAAGTTGCTTGATGAGTTGAGTGGAGCAGTTATCTTCATCAAGGTAGATCTGAAGTCCGGATACCATTAGATCAGGATGGAGGATGTGTCAAAGACTGCTTTCAAAACTCATGAAGGACATTATGAGTTTCTAGTGATGCCTTTTGGTTTCACTAACGCCCCAACCACTTTCCAGACCTTCATGAACAAGGTCTTCATACCTCATCTCAGGAGATTTGTATTGGTGTTCTTTGATGATATCCTGGTTTACAGCAAGTCGGAGGAGTACTAGGAGCACTTGAGGATTTTAGAAGTATTACAGGAGCACCAGTTGAAGGCCAATTTGAAGAAATGTTATTTTTTTCAGGCCATGTGGAGTACCATATGTCTCTAAGGAGGAGGTGGCAGCAGATCATGCTAAGATTGAAGTTATGTTGAGATGGCTAGTACCGAAGAATCTCAAGGAGCTGAGGGGATTCTTAGGACTTATAGGATACTACAGGAGGTTCGTGAAGGAGTACAACACCATCTCATGACCACTAACATAATAGCTAAAGAAGGATGGTTTTTTATGGCGAAAAGTGGCCACAATAGCTTTTGAGAGCCTGAAGAAGGCCATGACTACTATATCAGTCTTGGCCCTACTAGGCTTTACTTAGATCTTCATAGTGGAGACAGAGGCCTCAAGATATGGATTGGGAGCAGTAGTTATGTAGAACCGTCAACCCATCGGCTACTTCAACCAGGTATTGACAGCCAGGGCTAGACTGAAATCAGTCTATGAGAGGGAGTTGATGGTTATTGTGTTAGCCATCCAGAAGTGGCGATCCTACTTGTTGGATTGACATTTCATTGTCAGGACATACCAGAGGAGCCTGAAGTACTTGTTGGAGCAGATGATGGTGACTGAGGAGCACCAAAGATGGTTGTCCAAGTTGTTGGGATATGATTTTGAGATCCAGTATATGACAGGAGTAGAGAATAAGGTGACAGATGCCTTATCCAGATGTATGGGTGAGTTACAGGCGATGGAAGTATCAATACCATTGATGTTGGATTGGGAGGCCATTAAGGAGGAGAGTGCACGGGATGAGTATTTGGGAAAGATTTGGGCTGACTTGAAGAGGAAAGAGAGTAGTGACCCAGGGTATTGTTGGAGGGAGAGAGGCTTTATCAGGAGAGGTTTGTGATGCCTAGGACATCAATACATATTCCACATTTGTTGCAGAAGTTCTATGGAAGCGCTATTGGGAGTCATTTAGGGGTGCAGAAGACGTATATGAGACTTGCCTCAGAGTTGTATTGGAAGGGGATACATAAGGATATGCAGGAGATGGTAGTCAGATGTGAGACCTATCAGAGGAACAAGTATATGACCATATCTCCAAGAGGATTATTACAACCTTTAGCTCTATTAATTCGGGTGTGGGAGGAGGTTTTCATGGATTTCATAGATGGATTACCCCGATCAGAAGGATTCACTGTGATTCTGGTGGTAGTAGACATATTGAGCAAATATGTCCATTTCATTCCCCTACGACATCCATACACAGCGATAACAGTGGCATCATCTTTCATTCGGGAGGTGGTCAGATTGCACGGAGTACCGGAGTTGATAGTATCCAACAAGGATAAGGTGTTTGTGTTTATCAGCCATTTCTGGAGGGATTTGTTCTGATTACAAGGGACAATACTGAAGAGGAGCATCACCTATCACCCATAGACAGATGGTCAGATAGAGGTGGTCAACAGGATCTTGAAAACCTACCTACGATGCTTTGTGTCTGAGACACCCAAGTTGTGGGCCAAGTGGTTAGCATGGACAGAGTTCTAGTCACTACAAGAAAAAAGGTTATTAGCGGCCATCAAAATTGGTCGCTAAAAATGATAATTTGGCCGCTAAAGTGAATAGCGACCAAAAATATTTGGGTCGCTGGTTTGTCGCAGTAGCCTCGTCGCTGAGACTTTTAGCGGCCAAAAATTTTATTTGGTTGCTAAATTAGTGACCACTGGCCTAGTAGCACCCTAGTTTTTTTAGTGGAGTAGTACTTGGAGGAGAGGGACAGAGTGTTGGAAGAATTAAAGAGGCATTTGATGAGAGCTCAATAGATTATGAAGAAACAAGCAGATGGGCATAGGAAGGACATACAATTTGAGTTTGGGTAGTGGATATTCTTGTAGCTCCGACTTTACAGGCAGAAGACAATCGTCAACAGGAGGAATGAGAAGCTTGCCCCAAGCTACTTTGGGCTTTATGAGGTAGTAGAAAGGATTAGAGCTGTGGCATATCGGCTGGAACTATCACCAACGACGACTATACATCTGGTGTTCCATGTATCCCAGTTGAGGAGGGAAATTGGAGATCATGCAGCGAGTTCAGAGTTACCAGTGACGCTGACAGATGATTTAGAGGTGATTTATGAACCTTTGGAATTGATGGGGGTTCGTCAGAGAGAAGATGGAACTAAGGAAGTGCTAATTAAATGAAAAAGCCTCCCGGACTACGATGCCACATGGGAGCCTTATGAGAGGGTGAAGTATCAATTTCCTTTTTTCACATTGAGGACAAGGTGATTCTTTGTGAATGGGGTATGTTAAACCGGTCCTCATTGGACCGGCCCAATCGACCCTTGGGAAGGGGCCGGTTCAAACATACATGAGGCAGACCAAAGCTGGTCCGCCCTCTTGAATTTCCGCCAAAGCAAGGGGAGGGGCCCACTAGGAGCTATTAGGAGGAAAGATAGGGGGGTGTGGTTGGGGTTAGGGAGGATGGTATGCTATAAATAGGTGCAGAATTGGAGGATTAGGGCATGCAAAATCATTGTGGTTGTTTCTTGTTCTTGTGGTTGGTGCCTTGGGCTCTCGCGGCGTCTAGAGATTGGGAAGAGAAGGATCCTCCTCTCGAATTGAGGATCAATTGTATCTTGCAATTTCTTTTTCGTTGGTTTGATTTCTATAATAAAAAACTACTCGTTTTGTTTGTTTTCTATTGGATTTGTGGATTTTTTCCATTGTTTTCGTTAATCTTGTTAGGGTTTATTTGAGATCTTCAAGTATTTCCTATCATATTCCTCTTGACTCAGTTTTTTTCCTAGAAAAATCATTATATTAAAGATATTACTAAAACCATCTGAGATATTTTTCTATGCATTGCGCTTTGGAACTTTTGACGAGAAAGGGACAATAGAGGCTTTTAGAGTTCTTCCCAGGACGATAAATCAATATGGTTCAACATGTTATCTCATGCTTACTTTTAGATAAGCTTTAGTCAAGAAAGGACGCTCAACAAATTTTAAAGAACATATGAGATTTAAATATTCCCAATAAATCATTTCTCTTTTTAAAAATTCTGTTTGACCTTATATTTTTAGTGTTGTATTCATTTATTACCTACTGTAACTCTGTAATTGTGATGTTTCTTTTCTTCTCTTAATGAGAAGGGGTTTTCTTACCTTTTTAATAAAAAATTTGTCCAGTCAATGGTAAATTAGGCCCTACTTGATTACTATGATTTACGTTTTCCACCACTCCAAAACCATGAAGAATATAAAAATTATCTTCTTTTAGAATAAGGATTTATCACTGGGTTTATGAGAATAGTAAGTGCTTAACCCTACTAGATGCTGAACAACATTCAAATTTTTTTTGGGAATTCAGAGACTTTAGCATTTTCTAGCCACGATTTTTCTTGTTACATTTTACTTGCATTTTGGAATTTTAATCTAATTTCCCTGTACAAATGATAATATATTCTTTAACTGTACATGTCACTTATTCCTGTATGTCTGGTATTTTTTCTCCATTACCCCAGGTTGGTGCAGGAACAAATCCACTTGAAGGGGCAGCCTTGGGGATGTCACTTCTTGAATCTTTTGCTGAAAGCGGTTCTTTTCTGACAATAGCTACCACTCATCACGGTGAACTTAAAACACTGAAATATAGGTACTGTGTTTTAATTATCAAGCAAGGAAGCAAGGCGATGTTTACAACTATTTCCCATGGAAAGTTCTGATTAAGAATTCATTAATAACATTTTTTACTTCAAATAAATAACCAGTGAGGTTGAAGCCACATTAAAATCTTGGATGTATGAGGTATCTTCCTTGTTTCGTATCATTCTTATGGTGCTAGGGTTTTATATTAAATTTAGAGAGAGTTTTTTGTTGGGTGTTTCTAATCATGTTAACAAGATCCTCATTGTGACTTAAAAGTTACAAGTGTAAATCAGAAAAACAGGCTCCTTGCTAATGCAAAAAAATAATTGTTCATCTCCTTCCATACCTTGCAATTGACATGAACTGCATTCCGTGGGCATTATCCTATGTGCATCAGCCCCTCTTCATACATCACAACTGGCTGAAGCTGCTGGCAACCCTTTTTTTGTCCTACCATATCTATATGCATAGTGCGCAGACTTTGCCTGAGTTAAAAAATTCAAAACATTCCGTTCTGTGATAATCATATACAAGAAGTATCAAAATTTGGAATGGAAAAATCTATTGAGATATATTTGCATAATTAATTATTATTCCATAAAAAATATACATTGGAGGTCAAGATTGCTGGTTTGTTTCATGCGACATATTGTTTGAAATTAGTAATTTGCTCATATGATTTATAATTTGTAATTAACTTTTAAAGATTATTCCCCATCTGTTGAAGTTCTCAAGGTATGTGATGCTCTTAGCCCGTCATATGATGCATGACAACCATTAACATGCAACAATGAACATGCAGTTTGGAGAAGGAAAATTTCTAACCATTTTCTACACATTCTGCGAACATTGGAGTTTGCTCTATTAACTATTATTTATTAAAGATCCAAAGTATGGCAAATATTATGCGTCTCAATATGCTTCTTTGGAAGTACATTGTCCGGCATCTATTTTGGAATACTGATCAAGTTCAAGAAGAATCAATGCATTTTTGGCCCTATCAATCCATTTTATCTCTGGGCACAAAAATTTAGAGAAGGAGACACCAGGGCGTGTCATGCAAACAGCCCTTTTTTTATTAGAAATTATTTGAGAAAAAGCCTCTGACTAAGTGTCTAATTGGGTCTCAGAGTTTTGCACTGCTCCCAATTTAGTCCCTCAACTAATGAAATTTGATTCAATTTAGTCTCTTTGTTAAAAAAATCTTTTAAATTTAGCAGAATGTTCTACAGATCTCCCATTTTTCATAATGTGAGGGGGCATTTTTAGTAAAAATATTTTATTTTATTTTTTGTAACAATGCTGCAGCTTATCCCATTATGGAACCATCCAATACAATTGTGACATTGAGCGATAAAGGATTGCAGTTTCAATTGAGAGCAGCTTGTCATTGAAGTAGCATGCAGTGAAAATCGAAAAGCAGTGTTCTGAGTGGCAAATCAACATCTCAAAGGGCTTTGACCGGGATTTTGGGCGTCTGAGCAGTGAAACACTGTATTTGTTGAAGACGAAGCAAGGGGCGCAAGCAGGATCTAAGGCATGCTTAACATACAATATTCTTTTACTAATTGTTCACACTTATTAGTTAGTAGGTTAATTTTATTCTGATTTTTATACTTGTTATAATTTATTAAATAACAAAATGAAATAACTTAAGCAATATAATATCACATACACTTGTACTATTAAATGTATCATCATATTTAACTTTGATGTTAACTTTAACTGTTATTTTTGGTCCTAGTACCTAATCGGATCAATTTTAAATAGTTGAGAGGCTAAATTGGATATTTGGAGAAGTGCTAAATCGTGGACTAGATTGAGCACTTGCTAATAGTCGAGGGACTATTTGGATCTTTTTCCCCAAGTTATTTTTTAAGTCTAACATTTGTCTATTAATTTTGGAACTTATCAATAATTGGTATAGTTATAAAACTAGGCATTCTGACATAGAAATGGTAACCAAAGATAACTTTTAAAGTGTATTTTGAAAGTTTGGAGTGCTATAATAGTCCTATGTTGCATAGGATTCCTTAATTCATCTTGTCATATTCCTCATTTCTATTTATCTATAAGAGCGCATTTATATTTATGTGCTTATAAATGTTAACCATTCCAAATTGTAGACGCTAAGTTTTTTTACTCTTTTTGACGTCAATATTTATAGAATTTATTATAAAAATTATTGTAGCCCTTCTGATTTTATGAAAAATTGTAATTTCACAATTTTCTTGGCACAGTAATCATGTTTTTGAGAATGCTTGTGTTGAGTTCGATGAAGAGAGCTTACAACCAACATATAGGATACTGTGGGGAATTCCAGGTTGGCATCCATCCGTATTCTTTTCTGTATAAATTCTCATGAAATCAACCCATCCGTATTCTTTTTTGAATAAATTCTCATGAAATTTGATTTCTTGTTAGTTTCTCTATTTTAGTTCAAGATTTTTTGTTTTTATTTTTATTTTTATTTTGAGTACTTATTAGGCAAACTGAAAAGAACAGAGATAGATAGCATTTATGGGTATACCTTGCTTTGGTGAAAAACTATAAGTACCCACGCTTGTTGTTCTCTGACTCAATTGGAAAGATAGAAATTACCCTTTGCGTCTATTTTATCTTTGATTTGTCAGAGCCTCACCTCCTACCATCAATCATTGATCCTATACCAAGGAAAACTTTTGGATAATCATGCTTTTCTATCTTGATTATCCTTTTATAGCTATTGTTGGGTAATGAATAATACGATTGATTAAATTTTTCTAGTACCGTCAGCATTCTTGTGATCATTGGCCATCACTTGAGGAGAAAGCTGAGAATAATAGGGAAGAAGTTTAGAAAAATGATTGAAGCAATCATAAAAATAAATGCCTTTTATTTTAACTTCATTTTAAAATTGTGTATGACTTAAAAAAAGAAAAAAAGATGATGAGCTATCATCTTTCCTACTTATGACCATCCAATCTCACAAGCTAGTTCGGAATGATAAACAATTTTTTTCTAATTGCATATTCAACAAACAATAGTATTTGAAAATAGTCTCATAATTATTTGAATCATTTATACATATTATTAAAAGTATGGCTGTTAAAATAAAGCTTATAACTATGCAAATACTACATGTTTAGAGAAGATAGAGGAGCTTATATTGCTCATACAATTATATCATTTGTTTAAATGAAACAATATTTTTGCAAATAGTTGTATAAAGGAGTTCATTATCACTTGCTTCATTGGAGTATATTTGTAAAACTCATTCTATAAAATTTCATACGAGTCTTTTTATAAAGTTAGATTAAATATAAAAGTTTATTAATCAAATTAAAAAAGAAAAGAGAGTCAAGTAAAAAAGATGGTAAAGCTCGATGGTTGGCCAAGCAATAATATTGACTTGATTTATTAGGTTTTTGGGCCAAGGACCAATGTTCAATCTCATAATCTCCTCAGTTGACCAAAGGGTGATGGTGAAATGTCGCAAAAAGGGTCGCTTTGCTCACGATGCAAGGTCATCAAAACTATATCTAAATGCCCGCCCAATTTTAGTGAAGTAACACTAGTGATTAGTTGCACTTAACCTCTCGATGATAATTCTTAGTCATTTGGCCTTGCCAACAGTTAGAGTTATTGATTTTATTTCTCCTTTTGTTAAAGTTAAGAATACTATTCAAAGAACCTAATTAACAAACCTTCCAATATATGTAATCCTATTTCATCCAAATTCATCAGGTCAACACAAAACATTGAACCCATCAAAATAAAACTAAACCTCAGTGTCGGATTTCCTTGCCTATAGGGCAAGATCGAAAGACCCAATTTTTTGAGCCAACTCTAATATCATAATCATAGGCCCCATACTCAGACAACACACAAATAGAGCAATAAACCCCATCTCAATTAAATTTGGGCCTTCCAAAGAATGTAAGCACCAATCCAAAGTATATTCAAGCCAGCTCCAATTCTAACAAGTTCACTAAATCAATTAAAACTTAAAACAAGCAAAATTGATAGACATTTTCTAGTTTGCTTGGGAAAACTTAAGAATTAAGATGAGGCAATATATGATTAATTAGATTTCTTGGATATTACATTGTACAACACTCTGGTGTTGATAGATTGGAACCATTGATTTTTATGAGATGATGGAACTATAGAATTTTGATTGAGTCTACCATTATTTCCTCAACCATCGCTTGATTGAATGACATAGAAGTGTTGAGCCTAAGCCTAAAATTTAATATATGTAATAATCCTTAATTAAGAGTGCTCTATTGCGAGCGAGATGACATTTAACTATGGGGGACTGTACCTATAATTAATTTAGACCCTAGGTCTAAATAAACTCTTGCATGAATCTATCTCATGAAAAATAAGCTCCAAATTTTAAAGACGAGGTTTGTGTTTTTTCTAAGCCAACAACCTCCCTTTTAATGTAGAAATATAATTTTGCGTCTCATAAAAGTTATATTGTGTGGTCTAGAGTCATAACCTACTTGATTTCATTTAAATTATATCATTAATTATATTTTTTTTTCATTGGCCAAATTAATGTGATGAGGACATCGTTCAGAGATTCAAACACGTATACCGACGACGGAATCGTAGATCGACGGCTACGATTCAGAGCCTTTACTTTTGATGCATTTCTTTATGTTATGATTTATGTAGTTTTGTTGTTTCCGAATTTACCCTATGGGTAAGTGTCTTGTTATTGTTGCCCGGAGGGCAACTGCGTACTTTTCTTTTTTTTTTTCATGTTTGAGATCTATATATTGTGGTATTATGTGTTGTAAGTGTATGATTTGATAATAAAATTTTATGTGTTTTTCTTCTTCTTCTTCTTGTGTGAGCACTAGAGAGAAGGGACAGAGAGCTCGAGGTGAGAGCAAGCACAATACCCACCAGTCGTTGGAAGAGTCCGCGGCTCGTGGTTTAATCTATCTTATTTTCTTTTCTTCTCTTCTCCATCCCAACCACCGGCTCCTACTTCCCCTAACATTATATATTGTGTGGTCTAGAGTCATAACCTAATTGATTTCATTTAAATTATATCATTAATTATATATTTTTTTAATTGGCCAAATTAATGTGATGAGGACATCGTTCAGAGATTCAAACACGTGTACCGACGACGGAATCGTAGATTGACGGCTACGATTCAGCGCCTTTACTTTTGATGCATTTCTTTATGTTATGATTTATGTAGTTTTGTTGTTTTCCGAATTTACCCTATGGGTAAGTGTCTTGTTATTGTAGCCCGGAGGGCAACTGCGTACTTTTCTTCTTCTTTTTTCATGTTTGAGATCTATATATTGTGGTATTATGTGTTGTAAGTGGATGATTTGATGATAAAATTTTATGTGTTTTTCTTCTTCTTCTTCTTGTGTGAGCACTACAGAGAAGGGAGAGAGAGCTCGAGGTGAGAGCAAGCGCAATACCCACCAGTCGTTGGAAGAGTCCGCGGCTCGTGGTTTAATCTATCTTATTTTCTTTTCTTCTCTTCTCCATCCCAACCACCGGCTCCTACTTCCCCTAACACCACTGGCCCCTACTTCCCCTAACACCACCGGCCATCCTCTCCCACCCAAATCCTCCCTAGCTCCATCACCTCAAGCTCCCACTGACAGCCCAAGCCTTTCCCCTCCTCTCACCCTACACCATTACCCCCTTCCCCATTGCCGCCGGCCTTCCCCTAGGCTCCACCTCAGTTATGATGATTTCAATTATCATAATTCCCTTCCTAAATTAACTCCAAGTAGAAAAGGAAAGAAATTAATCTTATTTGAAATTTGAAATTCAAATTTCAAATACTTTTCTTATTTGCAAATCCTAATTAGGAAAGTGCATAAAGTCAAGCCTATTTGAAATTCAAATTAGATTGGATTTCTTATTGCCTTTCCTAATTCCCATGAGTTGTTTTGGAAACTCTTAAATCCCTCCCCACAAATCTCCTCTTAATGTCATCGACCCCCTTATTGGGCTTCTCTCTTGTGTTTTCCTCTTTGAGCCCTCGCCCCATTTGAATTTGAAATCAAATTTCAAATTTAATTTCCTCCAAATCCACTTAAATCTGAACTAATTTCAGATTTTCTAAAACTTTCTCTCCCACCCTCTAACCTAACCTAATTCCCTCTCAACCAAGCCCCCCCTCCCTTCTCTTCCCCTTGACCGCCCCTCTCCACTTACATATTCTCCCTTGGAAAACCTAAAACTCTCATGTTGTTTGAAGCTAAGAGAAGAAGACAAGTTCTTTCCTCCCTTCTACCATTGGTGTATGGCCGACCCTGAGGTCGACCACGGATTTGTTTTCGACGAGCAAGGACAAACGGATATTTTTGGATCCCCGTTCTTTGCTGTGTACTTTGGCAACGACGAGACTATTGACGGATACATCGACCGCATCTTATACCAACTAACATTATCGATTGAAGAGCACCTTCAACCGGGTTGTTGGATAATCATCGGTCACCCACCGCCTCCCCCACCCCCGGCTACTTCTCCATCAACGAAGGTCTTCGGTGTCGTCTTCCTAGTGGTAATATCCTTCCTCATATGGTTCATCTTTCTCCGCTAAAGCCTAAGAGTGATTGAGTGAGAAGGTACTCAAGGTGAACCTCTCGTTATTAAGTGGTGGATTATGTTATGTGCATGTATCATTTACTATAGTCTTTGAATTTAATTGGATTGTTTGGTTAATCTCAAAAGCGTTTCTTTGCCTAAACAAGTTGAATACTTGGAATTCCTAACTTCTCTTTATTTGCAAGCAATAATTTTTTTTTTATTAGCAAGTTTTAATCAATTGTCTCTTTTTAATTTTTCAAGTAACTCCTAGTAGTTTCACATCATAATGCCTCGTATTTATTTGAATGAGGATGCAACCATAAGCCCCAAGACTAATTTGATGTAGTGCAGTTTAGGATTTTCTAATGCAATTAGAACTATTAGATGCAATGGAACTCAGCATTCACATATCACAAACCATTTAATAGGCCAACAACATATTTTTTTTAATTGCAAATAATTAATACAAGAATCAAGAACTGCAATAACTTATGGTGCAGAATGTTGATCAAAAGAGAAGCATAAAATTAAGTTAAGTGCTGCAGAGATCAGGATGCTTAGGTGGATGCGTGGTTTTACAATTAGTGGCAGAATACGAAATGAGTATATACATGAACAGGTTGGAGTAACTCTAGTGGTAGATTAGATTAGAGAGAGCCGCCTTAGATGGTTTGGTCACATAAAAGTTGGCTTTCCGATGACTCTATTAGGAGAGTAGATGTATTATATCTGGCATATGTAAAGAAAGGTAGAGATAGACCTAAA